AACCCATGATCTTTAAACTTCGAGGGCAGGAGGCAGGTCCTGGACCATGCTCATCCCGCAGCAGTGGCTCCTGTCCCACAGGGCAGGGGCTGGTTCCCGTTCTGGGCATGGGGACCTGGCGCGTGGGGTTATGATGAAAGGGTGGCCTGGCCTAGCCCGAGCGGCTCCCTCTCCACTGCTAACCCAGGGCCTGCCCTCTACACTGGGCCGGGATTAGGGTTGCAGGCCATGGCGGAAGGTGCTGCTGGGCTAGTTAGAGCCCCCTCCGCAGTTTAATATAGTGCACCCAGTGAATCGGGAGGTCCCTTCCCAGTTCTGCCTGGGGGCACCTTTAGTCCGAGGTGTCTGTGCAGCTGGGACTGGCAGCAAAACCGATTGTAAAAGGCAGACGCTGGGCCCCGCTGGCGACTGGCGGAACTCTTGGGGCTGGAGGACAGTGTGGCTGTTTCAGAGGGAGCTTCGTCTGCCTGCCATGGGGTTAACTCTATGCCCTTGCTGCATTGCCCTAGCCCCATCGCTTGGTGCTTCTGCGGAAGTGAGGGGAAGGAGTGCTCCGTAGGGCTGCCTCAGTGACTCTCCCCCATCTGTCGGGCTCATTCACAGTCCTATGGAATCAGTAATTATGGACAAAGGCCTCTGCAGTCTTGTACAGCAGCTTATTAGCCATTTCCCCTTGTATCCAATTAGTCACATAGGGTATTTTGCATGCAGTAAAGCTACACATTAAAATCCCCAAACACATGTGTAATTTACAGCTAATAAGAACTGTGATTATTCTGTACATTAAACAAATACCAATTACTCCAGAGCGGGCGATGGAGCGTTCTCATTAGTGTCAGAGATTATAGTAAGTTGGTGTCACTGCAATTGTTGATGTAGAGACTCATTTACTGGTGAACAGCCCGTTTTTCTAAGAACTCTAAAATCCACATGTTGACTCAGATTGTCTCTAAAATTGCTGGGCAGCATGCAGGATCTGAAGGCGATCTGGTCAGAAAAATGGCAGCAGACTCATTTTCGGTGGGAAAATACTGTTCTGGCAAAGTTAAAACAATTTGGGTCAGAAAAAACCTGGGACAAAAGCTCCAACAATGTTGAAATGTCCCATTCTGAGATTTTCCAATCACACCATTCTGTTTTTTCATTTTGAAAAGACTTTACTTTTCAAATAGTTTTGGCTTTGTATTATATTGTAATAGAACATATTAAAAAATCTATTGGAACATCATTTCTATAAAGCCAATTCTTTCTTTCTTTCTTTCTTTCTTTCTTTCTTTCTTTCTTTCTTTCTTTCTTTCTTTCTTTCTTTCTTTCTTTCTTTCTTTCTTTCTTTCTTGGAGAATTTTGCAATATTTATATTTTGTTCCTCAGTGGAGCAAAGACAAATCTCAAAATCTTTTGCTAAATGGAGTTCCTGTCTTCTGTGCCGTTCTAGTCAGTGGTCCAAATTTGAGAGAGTTTGAGTTAAAGGTTCCTGAGATACAGCCTCTCCTCCTCCCCCCACCAAAAAATCACTTGACAACAACACTTTCCAGTTCTTAATGTTTTGTGCACATTTGGGGCTCAGACTAATGGTCTGATATATTCGTACTTCCTGGTTTGCAAAGGTTTATGTGTAGGTGGACACAGCATTCTGGAAGGGGATTAGGCAGCATGTTCATAAAGTTTTTGAGCAGTTAGTAAAGCTCTGTGGTGCAGTAGTACCTCAGAAAAGGCATGTGTCTCAGCTAACACTGAGCCAGGCAGTCGCTGTCCTTAGGTTGTGTTCTCATTCCCAACGGGGCAGATATGTTGCCCAAAGCCCGCCTGCAGTTTGGACTCCTGCAGAGCATAAAAGGAGCCCTCCAAGGCGCACCACTGCAGCTGGGCGGGGGAAACAGGGACGAAGCAGGCAGCCCAGTGCTAGGTCCGGTAGGTGGAAACATGATCCTCCCACACAGCGAGGAGGGACGGCATGGCTCCTGCTCAGTGAAGCTCGGCGGTGCTCAGCCACCATTCCCCATTTCCTCCCTCGGATGGCTTCCCCCACATACTCTCCCCACCCCCTTTGTAGTATGGGAGAGGGAAAGCCAAAAGAACTAGGTTCTATCCCTCCCTTTCCCTGCCCATCAGTACAGAGAGGTCGAGAGTTGGTTCACACCTTTGCAGAGCCTTAGCCGACAGGTGCAGTGTAAACATTGCATGGTGCTTCTGGGGAGCTTCCAGCCAGAGTTCAAGGTACAGCCTTTAATCTGTAGCCATGGAGGCTACGGCCAGGCTGCAGGCTGCTTTCGGAAGAAGCTTTTCTGGAAGAGATGTTCCAAAAAAACTTCTTCCGAAAGAGAGCGTCTACACAGCAAAAGCGCATAAAAAAAGTGATCTGAATAGATGCTCCCTCACCTGTAAGCTGTAATTGGTATGGACGGAGTGGCCACCAGGGCACCTGTGCTTTTTCCTCTTCCCTCTTCTTTTGAAAAAACTCCCTCTTCCCCGTCGGCACACACGTTTTTCCAAAAGAGCTCTTTCGGAAAAAGGCTTCTTCCTCGTAGAAAAAGGTTTACCAGAGTTGGAAATCCCTTTGTTCTTTCGAAAGAACACGATTGCAGTGTGGACGTGATGTTTTTTCAGGAAAATGGCTGTTTTCCCAAAAAATCTCCACAGTGTAGACATATTCTGAAGTGGTTTGGATCCTGGTGAATGGAGAATCCTGTGCTGTAGCTGCGGCCAATGAGGCCTGGGAGCTGCAGCTCCTGAAATAGAGAGAGTCACTAGCAGAGTGTCCCCCTGGGGGCTCCTCTAAAATTGACTCCCCTGCTTGGTATTCCACAGCTGAGCTTGTGAGGGCGGAATGGGATTAGTGGCCAGGCTGGGTGCCTGTGTTGGTGTGTTTGTGTAGCGGAGCCTGTTAATTGGAGGACTGTGCAAGTGAACGTGGCTGTGGGGTTGAGATACCTGGAGCCATGGCCAGGTGCCCAATGAACGGAGCTAGATGCAGGTGAGCTAGAAGAGTAAAGGGTCCAGGGGAGGCCGGTGGTGAAGAAGACTGAGAATATAGGGAGGAGCCTTCTCAGTGCACGTCTCTGGCCAGTCACAGTGAGTTTTCAGAAGACATGTACTCAGCAAGGTGTCAGCTGCCATTGGGGGTGCACACAGGCCCCTGATGCGTGACCGCAGCCAGTAATAAAGCTGACGCTAGCTGACATGTCTCCACTTGGCTCCCCTGGGCTGCGGGAGGGAGCACTGCACCAGAGTGTGTAAGTAACCTTTCCATGAGCAAGAGGCTTTGATCTGCAATTTCCCAGCTCCCATCTCTCTGGCGAGGGTTTCCCTACTACCTCAGCCAGTACAGTCACCTTCTCAAGAAAGCTACCACCTTGTGTCCAAGCACAGGAAGCACAGAGCTCTGAGCTGAGATAGATGTTCTGAGCTTGGCAACAGCCTCCTTGCGCTCACGTCGCCTTGTGGCCTTGTGGCCGCCTGCTGGTACGGAGCCTCTCTGTGTGGGTTGTAGACAGTAGCCCTCTGATTCCAGGTGGTGGAAGATGGACACTAAAGTCAGCAGGTGGTAGTGAGGGCTTTCCTCAATGCATCCCAACCCCCTGCATTCCTGGGGGCGTCTCCCACCCACATGCTTTTCCCATCACAGCAAACCAGCAGCTGCTTCCCTGTGGATCACCACGTGGTCCTTCCATGGCCGGCAGCTGCTCCTTCCCTACAGAGCCAAGCCCAGCTTCAGACGTTGTATTTTCTTCCCTTCCCAGACGGCCGTCAGGTTAGCGCTCCCACCGGTTGGCGTTTCAGTGAGAGGCAGCGGGGCATGAATCCAGCCGGGGGAGCCGCCGGAACGCAGGGAGGGAAGAACAAAGGGAGAGAGGGGCCTGGGAACCCGTCCAAGATTCTCTCCTGGCACACGGCCCCCCACAGACGCACGGCTGCCGCGGACGCCTATGTGGATAATACGGACCTGTCGGTGGACAAATTTCCACTCCCCGAGGAAGGGGAGGAAGCAGAAGAACCTCTGCCCCAGAGGGACCCGCAATGGGTGCCGGCGGCACCAGGCAGAGGGAGCACACGCAGGCCACCGGCTGCGCTCCAGCAGCAGGCAAGGTAAAAACCCTGACGGGAGTGAAGCGCCCAGCAAATCTCCTCTCCCAGCCCTGGCTCCATGCCCCCAAGCCCAGTCACATGAAGGCTCCTTTCCCCATCCCGGCAGGGGCCTCACTGCTACGCCAGCCCTGCTCCCACGCCCCAGTGGAGAGGGCAGGTTGGAGGAAGGCCAGGCTGGGCATGCAGCAGGGCCCGGGAGGGGCTGGGAGCTACGCCAGCCCTGCTCCCACGCCCCAGTGGAGAGGGCAGGTGGGAGGAAGGCCAGGCTGGGCATGCGGAAGAGCCGGGGAGTGGCTGGGGAGGGGGGGGCGGGGGG